GGGTTACGTTCCGCTTTGACATGCTGCCAACGACGCTTATGTTGAAGACAAGGATAGCTGTGGCCATCATCTTGCCTCCCCGTTGGAAGACATGGCCTACAATGGTGATAAACTGAATCCATCCTGCACATCAAACATCTTGATCGTTTCTTGCATGACCGGCTCGGGTCGAGTCCGTTTCTGAGTCATATGCAGGAGGACGTGATGGGCAGCACCAACGTCTGTGGTTTCTTGTAAGGGACAAGACGTGGGAAGATGCCGAGGGGCGTACCAGACAGTTTTAAACCCCCGTTTTAATTCTCTTTCGGGTACTGAGGGCTCAGAAGTTCTCCTTGAAAGATTGGGGAGTCGAGGCATGCCCACATTCTTGAAAGTTGAAGCTCTCGGCATTCACTCCAGTCACTCATTGATATTATTTAGTTATCAGACCAGTTTTGGGGGATGAAGACAATGTCACAGCTTTCCTGTGATCTTTTTCCTGCGGCTGATTCCAAACACCCTGGATCTTACTGGGCTTTGACTTTGTCTGAGGACATGATGAACTGGCGAGGTCGGACTGAGCAGGCGCCTCAACCTGCAAGGCCATTCACTAATTACTCAAAAGGGCTTGATTTCTAACACTTCTACTCATGCTTTTCTATTTCTTATTTGGAACTTTGCCATATATATAGTGTTCTTCAAATATTTGCTGGGTGTTGTTTCTTTTTCAACCCTTGTCAAGTCTCCTCAGCTTCATTCTCGAGCCCTTGCTTTTACACGCGTACAGCACGATCTCCAACAGCCTGCCCAATCTGCATTTTTGACTTTATCTCGAGTTTCCTTTATTCTTTCTTCCTGCAAGGACTACAGACCTTGTTAAAAGTCTCGGCCTCAACGGAGATCTAAATTGCAGAGGTTGAGATTCGAGTTTAGTATCGCGTGATGACGATGCACCCGGTGTACCAGGTATATCTACAGGGTAACCACAATAGTATTGTTATCCGTAGTTGTACCTGGTAGTCGCAGGACACAAGGACATGTATGTTCAAGCCTTGTGGATAGACTACGTATTCCCTCACATATCCATGGAAACACTATTCATTGGCCTTGTCCATTTACAAACCCAGACATGACTCAGATACCTCTCATAAACTCTGGCTACTATGTCAAGCAATGGCATGTGTGAGCGTTATTCCTATGGATCTTGAGCAGGCCTTCCAATGCCATTCTCCACGACCGGCTTAGAGTTGCCTGCGCGTTCTATGAATACAGGTCATTGGATATCGTCAAAGGCATCACGATGTCAATAATATTAATTCTTGTTTTAGTAGGAATACATAACGACCATGTTGCTTCATATGATCGATAAATTTCCCATGTTTATCGAGGTTTCATTGCGGTTCTGACGGTTACAGCTAAATTGAGCCGAAATACATTCATTTGGACATACCATGTTTCCCTGTATATTTATGATATACGCAGTATATAACACAAAATACATATTATTCCTCAATTCAATGCAAAGTAGGGTCCTTATGGTGAGCCAGTAGAAAATACAGTAGGTATTGGTGACAACACAATATTGGAACTCAGAGAGAATGGTGTAGGTTAAGCCACTGCAGATGCCAGATAGCCCGAGTATTCGCTAGAACGACACAATAGACAATTCGAGGTCGACGTCGAAAGATAGAGGACTGTTCATCAAAGATTGACAGTGAAAGCGTGAGTTGCACATGATAGAAGTGACTGGCTTGGTGACCAAAGAAGTGCGATTGTGTTTAAGATACTTGTCTTGCTCTAACACAAAACCGACCATCAACTATTTCACCCACGTGAGGGTCTCGGAGCATATGAATAACAGGATGAATTATTCGGATTATTTCTGCGGAATGGTCTGATATAAGTCAGAATTTCGTCAAGAAGCCCGACATACAATGTTTAGATCAGGTGACAAGAGAGAAGAATAACGAGGCTGATAACCAACGATTCGTCGCAGCTGCACAATGACCCAATGATCGGAGAGTCTTACTTGAAAAGGCAATCCCTCGAAATCGAGCTCTCCGGAACTAACCAAATAAACTCAGGGACCAGTAATTTTTAGCGCCGAATCCAAGATCTCTCATGGGCTGTATGACGCTTAAATTCTTAGCCCACTCGGACAAAATTACCACGAGGACGAGGAACCAGTAGCCAGACTCCGATTTCGAGTTGATCTCCCACGACAAAGACTTCCATTCCATTGCCTACCTTAGAACAAACATGAGTTGAGCCGCGGGGAAATTTAGCCATTTTGGGAACATCTAAAAATGGACCATATTGGAAACAACTCGTCAACCTCAACCCCGGACCGGCTCAGCTTGCCCCCTCTTGAAGATGAATCTAGATCAAGACGCACGTATGGGGAAGTTTGTGGCATAAAATACCATGAGCTGTAATCCTCTAATGCTGATAGGTGTTGGATGGTGAATGTATTCCACATGTTAACAGTTAATATTGAAGCAGCCTTCGCTTCTATTGTCAGAGACAAACTTCTAGATTGTGGTCCTGTCTTGTTCTACCTCGACGACTAGATATGATGATATTGATCACATGAGGCTGTCTTGCCGTATTTGTCTAATTCAGGGCTCAGCAATAATCCCCATGTTACCACGCAAGATGAAGCCCCCAGAGATCTGAGCGATGGCTGCGTCTAGAACATTTTGAACAGGAATCTCCGAGTTTGCGAAGGGTCTTGAGATCCGACAATCTTCCCGGTCAATCCCCCGCGTGACGTAGAAAGAAATTAGCAAGATGAATTAACGTGGCATTTTGAGGTAAAAGTCGACAACATCTCCACTGCCTCCGCCGTGATGCTATCCTTGGTGTCTCTTTGACGGCCGAAAACAGTTATAGCCGGCGGATCTAACCATGACTGACAGAGAATCTGAGAAGTCAGGGTTCTCAGTGGCGTCGTTCCGGCGGATCTAACCCGATATGTCTATCTCGACTTAGAAACTCTGCCCGCAGAGTTCCACCATTCTCCAGATCTCGACCAAGTCTCGAAAACTTGACGAGAATTGTAGAGCAAAAACACCCACTCACATGACGCAGATTGGTCATGTACCCGACTTCAAGTTTGATTATGCGGGGGAAAAAGAAGGGGAAAGGATCCATTGATGGTGTGCGCGGGCGGGCAAAGCGAAAACTTCTCGATATGAGGTTGGCTTGTAAGGAAGGATAGTTTTGACATCAACTACTACATAAGACCATCCTTCTCACCTCTTTTGGGATTCAATTCTCCAAGCTCATCATCATCATCCTCACACTCTCAACTACAACTGAATCTTCGAGAGCAACACAAGACTCTTCTCTTTAACTTACCTCATACTACCTCCCATCACTTCACTTATACGCATCACATTATTCACAATGGCCCCCGGCGCTGTCGTTGACGATTTCTCTAGCCACGATGGCCAAGCCCTCGAGGTCCTCTCTGACAAGATCGACGATGTCAACGTGATCAAGTACGACGAGACATCCAAGTTCGACAAGGAGAAGGACAAGAACACCTTCCGCCAATACGCCGATGCCACCGACCGCGTCAAGAACTTCTACCGCGAGCAGCACCACAAGCAGACCGTTGCCTACAACCTCGCTGCCCGCAACCGCTTCTACAACGCCTCTCGTCCTCGTGCCGAGATGACCATTTGGGAGGCCATGGAGAAGCTCAACACCCTTGTTGATGAGTCTGACCCTGATACTTCCCTCTCTCAGATCCAGCATCTTCTTCAGTCTGCCGAGGCTATTCGCCGCGATGGCAAGCCTCGATGGATGCAGTTGACTGGTCTCATCCACGACCTTGGCAAGCTTATGCTCTTCTTTCCCGAGCTCGAGACCCAGGGTCAGTGGGACGTTGTTGGTGACACATTCCCCGTTGGCTGTGCTTTCTCCGACAAGATCATCTACCCCGAGACCTTTGTTGAGGGCAACCCTGATGCTACCAACCCCGACTTCAACACCAAGTACGGTATCTACTCTCCCAACTGTGGCCTCGACAACGTCATGCTCTCATGGGGTCACGACGAGTACCTCTACCACGTCGTAAAGGACCAGTCCACTCTCCCTGACGAGGCTCTCGCCATGATCCGCTACCACTCCTTCTACCCCTGGCACCGCGAGGGAGCTTACCGCCACCTCATGTGCGACAAGGATCATGAGATGCTCAAGGCTGTCAACGCCTTCAACCCCTATGACTTGTACTCCAAGAGCGACGGCGTGCCCGACGCTGAGAAGCTCAAGCCTTACTACATGGAGCTCATCAACGAGTACTTCCCCAACCCTGTCATCAAGTGGTAAGGAGGGAATGAAAGCAAAAGCAAAAAAAGAACCGATAGAATTGGGATATAGATGATGTTTTCTTTGGGAATATGTTAGCCTGGAATTTTGGGACATGGGATATAATGAACTGAGCGAATGATGAAAATAATTGTTATTGATGATCAAGCCTGATTCTTGTCTTTCTCTGTTATGTGATCGTAGCGAAGTTGACTTGGACATGCAATAATGTTGGCTGAGGCTGTCAATTGTCTCTACCTGAGGCACTCGTACCTATGCAAGTACTTGTGATAGAGAACTAGGAGAAACCATAGCACCTGTTATTAGAGCTTTGGAGTCATGTGCCTCCAGGTTGTTGTGGGATTTCGCAAGATGTAAAAGGGCATGAGTAAAACAGCAGCGCGAAGCTATTCCCAGCCTAACAAGGTTAGACAAAGTTTCGATTGATAAGCACGATAAGAAGAAAAAAAGTTCGAACTCTGAACGATTTTCTTCAACTTCTCGAGCTAGGCCCAAGACCGCTAGCTCGATGGTCAATTAGCCAATCAAGTAACCGTCCGCCGGGTAGCTGCCCCTCAGCCCGCTGGAAATTTGGAGGAAAAGTTACCCAGCAGCGAAAGATTATCTCTGGGCAGCTGAGAAATCGCCATCTTTCCTAGACATTCACCAACAGCAGCATCAACACCACATACCACCCAACTTACACAATGGGGTCCTTATCGAAACGAAAGCGCGATCAAACAGAAGAGGTAGTTACTGACGACAAGCCTGCTGCTACCGAAGTTGAAAAACCTACGAAGCCTTCGCAAAAACAAGAGGATGAGACTTCCTTCGTCGATCTCGGTCTCGATCCTAGACTGCTACAAGCTATCGCTCAGCAAAAGTTTGCAAAGCCGACACTAGTGCAGAGGAAAGCGATTCCTTTGGCTCTCAATGGACAAGATGTTTTGGCCAAGGCCGACTGTGGCTCTGGAAAGACGGCAGCTTATGTTCTGCCTCTGCTATCTAGCATTCTGAAGCGCAAAGCTGTATGCCACCCCGATTCTCGAGATATCCTATTCTTGAAGACTTTGCTAATAGTCATGGGCTTAGACCGACTCTGCTGCTTTCACAACTGCCCTCATCCTCGTCCCCACCCGCGAGCTTGCCGACCAGGTCTTCAAGGCCATCGAACAATTTGCATCCTTCTGCGCAAAGGATATCAGCACAGTCAAGTTGACCGACAAGGTTTCTAATGCTGTGCAACGCGCCCTTCTTTCAAAGTCGCCCGACATCGTTATCTCAACCCCCGCGACTGCCTGGCACAATGTCAACTCTTCAGCACTCTCAATCGACAAGCTCACACATCTTATCCTGGACGAAGCCGATCTTGTTCTTTCCTACGGTTACAGTGAAGATCTGGAGAACCTGTCACGATCAGTCCCCAAGGGTGTTCAGGTCATGATGATGAGCGCCACTCTTACAGATGAGGTCGACATACTCAAGGGGATCTTCCGACGTGACCCGACATTGTTGGATCTCAAGGAGAAGGAGGCTGAAGGCGAGGGTATCACCCAATTTGTGGCCAAGTACTTTCTACTGATATTCAGATACAATAGGCCAGTTGCTAACATATTCCTAGGTGTGGTGAAGATGAAAAGTTCCTTCTCGCCTATGTCATCTTTAAGCTTAAGTTGATTAAGGGCAAGTGTATTATCTTTGTGAGCGACATTGACCGATGCTACCGCCTGAAGCTCTTTTTTGAGCAGTTCGGCATTCGAAGTTGTATCTTGAACTCCGAACTTCCCCTGAACTCGCGAGTTCATGTCGTTGAGGAGTTCAACAAACACGTTTACGATATCATTATTGCTGCCGATGAGAAGAATGAGATGATGGGAGATGAAGAGGAACCTGTTGGAGGCGAGACTGAGGATGCCGAGAAGCAGGGTGACGGAGATGATGCGGAAACGGAAGCAAAGCGACCAAAGAAGAAGGCCAAGAAGTCCAAGGGCGCTGATAAAGAGTACGGTGTATCAAGAGGTATGCTTGCCCAGGACTGTCATTTATATGGTAGAGGGTTACCCAAGCACAGGACTTACACTGACAACATTTATAGGAGTCGATTTCAAGAAAGTTTCCGCAGTCATCAACTTCGATCTCCCCACAACAGCATCAGCCTACACACATAGAATAGGGCGTACAGCGCGAGCTGGACAGACTGGCATGGCTCTGTCATTCGTCGTCCCCAAGGATCTATACCGAAAGCACATGCCTACATCCACACCAACCTCGGAGAATGACGAGAAGGTTATGGCCAAGATCATCAGGCAGCAAGCCAAGCGAGGAAAAGAAGTGAAGCCTTACAACTTCAACATGAAGCAAGTGGACCCTTTCCGGTACCGAATGAACGATGCTCTACGTGCGGTTACCAAGGTTTCTATCCGAGAGGCCCGAACAAGAGAATTGCGACAGGAGCTGTTGAAGAGTGAGAAGCTGAAGAGGTAAGCACATGCAAAATAACGCATCTATTCAAACTGTACTAAAAATCGTTCAGATATTTCGAGGAGAACCCCATGGAACTCGCCCATCTTCGCCACGACGGTGAGCTTCGAACTGCTAGACAACAAGCCCACCTGAAGCATATCCCAGAGTATCTCCTACCCAAAGATGGCAAACAAGCTTTGACAAACGACATTGGCTTTGTGGGACTCAGGAAAGATCGCAAGGGTCATAAGGGTAAGAAGGGTCGCGGATTTAAGGTTGGCTCAAGGAAGCGAGATCCGCTCAAGACATTCAAGGCGAGGCGCAAGACAAAATAGAGGGACTAGTGTAATACAGCGTTTTTGTGGGGTTTGATACCTTGATCTGAATTCAAGATTTTTTTGTTCCCTTTGACTTGGTTTCTTTTGAGCTGGCTTACACTGACGCGAACCTCACGGTGAATAAGATATTGCCCGAGACCGAGGCTGCCTTAGTCGTTCATGCAAGATGCTTTAAGGTTTCGGAGACAAGCAGTCTTTCGGCCGCAAGTGTGGGGATGAGAAGATGTCGGCGCAAAGCTAACCCCGTTCCATACACTGATGTAACGAATATCAAGAAGGACACAGGAAATCATGTCGTAGCCTGGACTGGGATAGGGCGGTCAACAGAATGATGATGAGGCGTCGGACATGTATAAAAGGGAGAGAGCTTCTCTGTGTCTGTGAACGTATCTCCTTCGTAAACACCAGGCCACTTACATCCAGTCAATATCTCCTCCAACTGCCCAAACTCCATTCCTGAGAACTACATCATGGCTCCTCCAGCCCAACTCCCTCTTCGACAACTCACCAAGAGTGGCCCCAAGATCCCATCCATTGGTCTGGGTCTTATGGGAATCAGCGTCGGATACGGAGCAGCCACGTATGAATCACATCCCCAGCTTCTGAGCCTCACTAACATCCCCAGATCTGACGAAGAACGCCTCAAACTCCTCGACCGTGCATGGGAACTCGGCTGTACCAACTGGGACACAGCTGATGTCTACGGCGACAGTGAAGATGTCGTAGGCAAATGGTTCAAACTTCACCCCGAACGTCGTCAGGATATCTTCCTTGCGACCAAGTTTGGGCTGAGGGTAGGTGAGAAAGGGATCGTTACTGATTCGTCGCCCGAGCATGTGCAGAGGAGCATTGAGAGAAGTTTGAAGAGGCTTGGTGTTGAGCACATTGATTTGTACTACATGCATCGTGCAAACGAGGATGTGCCTATTGAGAAGACTGTGGAAGCAATGAAGCAATTAGTTGAGTAAGTCATTCCACCATGGAATAAGCTAAGCAGGACTCATGCCCATATAGTGAGGGAAAGGTCAAGTACCTGGGCCTCTCAGAGATCTCGTCTACCACTCTCCGCCGAGCCCACGCCATCCATCCCATCTCAGCAGTTCAAGTCGAGTACAACCCCTGGACGCTCGACATCGAAGGTCCTTCAGGAACAAACCTTCTCAAGGCTTGCGAGGAGCTGGACGTGGCAGTGTTTGCCTACTCACCTCTTGGCCGTGGTATCTTGACCGGTCGTTTCCGCTCTGTCGATGATTTCGAAGCGACAGATACCCGAAGAAACCTGACGCGGTTCCAGGGTGACAACTTCAAGAAGAACTTGACGATTGTGGACCAGTTCAATGAGTTGGCCAAGAATAGGGGATTTACATCCTCACAGCTCGTTCTGGCCTGGATCTTGGAGCAGAGCCCCAATATGTTTGTCATTCCTGGCACGAAGAACGTCAAGTATCTCGAAGAGAACGTGGGAGCAGCGAAGGTGACGCTGAGTAAGGAGGAGAACCAAGACCTGAGGAAATTCGCAGCCGAGGCTGGAGTTGTCGGGGGGCGGGACCCTTTCTTTGGCTGCTTCGCTGATACGGCTCCTCTGGAGAAGTGAATGTACATAGAGATGGCAGTGCTGGCTACACGATGCTTGCTTCGGTAGCAGTTTCTAGCGCAAGTCCATACGGAAAAGTTTGCCATTCCATGAAGACCCATCATCATCATCATCACCATCATCCCTAAAACTCCCCATGATATCAAATCCTTGATCGACGTAGTATCTGTAACCATTAAAAATGAACCGAGTCGAGGGTGTCCTTCTGGGAACATACTGCACCAACTGCCCATTACCTCCATCCCAGCAATCAAGCCAGATCGTCTTCCAACCACGCTCAAGAGTATAGTCCTTGACTTTCTGAAGGAGAGCAGCCCCAGCCCCACGACGTCTATCACCAACTCGGTGATCAGTGACGAGGTATTGGAGGAAGACAAACTTGCCCCTTTTCAACGCAGGTTCAACCTGGGCTTTCAAACTCTCCGTCTCTTTCAGATAGCTCACGAACTGTTCTTCAACAATCTTGACGAAACCAACGGACAAAAAGGGGTTTCCGTTGTCGTCCACGCGGCGAGAGAGGTTTCCGTTTGCAGTGGATTCTGAGTCGGCCTGATCATCTTCAACCTCGGCGATAAATATCCTCTCTCGATCACCAGTCCCCGTTCTACAGAACTGCTCCGATTTCGAGACAGCATCATGCATCTTCTGCATGAACGATTCCTTGCTAGAAAGGGGCTTAGTTCCCCATTGACCAGCGTTTCCCGCCGCCACAAGGTAGGGTATGGTCGAGTCCATTGCATTAGCGATGAATTGAGCATCATTAAAAGATACAGAAGCGTCGCGGAAAGAGAACTGATTAGCCATAGTTCAGATGACTACCCCCTCGTATACGGAAAGCTAAGATGAGGCCTGGGAGAAGGGTACTGTACGGCTTCAAGAGAAGGATCGAGTGTAAAACAACGAGTTTGCTTATTCAGATGCCAGCAGTGCATATGTGGTGTTTCAGCGGACCACAAAGACGTAAGATATGCAACGCTAGCAAGGATCGCAATCCCTAGAACTTTTATGTGAGCTTCTAGAAGAAAAGACGATTTACATCTTGACATCTTCCCTTTTTCGACTGAGATTCTGAAGAAACATCCTAACAACTCGCAAGCGTAGTCTCGCTTTCAGCTCTGATTGACAATGAGCCCTTGAGATAATCCGAGGACCTGAAGGTGTTGACCGATGTGCACCCATCATTACCTTCAATGTATGTACAGTAGATGGCGCTATAATAGTCGCATGGGATGGTCCACCCCAACAAGAGTGGCCATCCCGACTATCACGGACTTTTTCGGTTTGCAAGAGCCGAGCTGGGCGTGGTACTTTGACACCAGAAACATGCATCATTATCAGTGCCTCATCGCCATCCCTGGTGGTCAAAAGCCTACCTGTCTCACCTATACGCTTGCGGCCATTGTATCCTAGGTAATTTGTTTTAAAATCATAGAGAAAACATGTTGATTTTCCGACTTTGACATCGCCAAGTCCACGGCCCGTTATCGCAACAAGAAGCACATTTACCGGCATTCTTAGCCCAACTTGCATGACTCGGCATCTGCTCCATGATAAGTTATCGTTTCGCGGTGCAACATCGACAGAAGACGGTCAGGTAGCTGCCCCCAGGGAACAGCATGAGAGGCTTGTAGCCCAGTGCATAATTCCATGTTTGGAACCACGTATTCCAAAGAACTGTAGACTACCTAACACAAGCACACCTACCTAGCTCATTATCAAGTGGCTCCCGGGACGAGATTCTCGAGCGAATTATATCCACATAATATGACATCGCCGTGCTCATTGGAGAGACCATGACCTCAAATAGGTTGGTAGTCCAGTGGCTATGAGATCATTGTCGTTCTTTATGGACAATCTTGTGACTAGCTGAACTCAATGACAAAGAAACGTCTCTCAGGTACAGCGTTGGATCGCGTGCGTCAACAAGGCGGTTAAGTATTGACATTTGTTGGAACCTACAGGCCACTTTGTTGGACTTGAATTTGTACGCGATTCAGCTTTTAAAAGGTTGGGAAAAGTGCTTCTTTAGTTCAATCTCGTCATTCACAGTTCTGGGTCCGCGATGCGTGTTAGTGGTGGGGGTCGATGCGATCTGTAGGGTCACAGTCCGCAAGACAACGGACCGTTCTCTTGTTTGAAGAGTCTTACACTCCACTCTCTATGTTATTGGATGGCTCAATCTCTGCAATTGTAAAGAATCGTCAACGGTTTCGACATTGGTAGCATCTAGTACAAGAAGCTGAAAAAGTTGAACTTCAGCTAGCGGTTGAACCAATGAGTATGCTTGGGTGGCAAGGGAGGAAAGAAAACTCAGGACCTTGATCCTAAATGATAAAAAGACTTAGGTAGCATAGTATAAGTCTAGGATAACTTTTGGTGAGTTTATTTTGACACCCTACATAAAGGTCCGATGTTTTCTTGCTCCCTGAGGGGGGGGACCTCGTCCTACACAGTAGATTGCCTTATCAAGAACTACCCCACGAAAACAAGGCGGCCGGAGAGCAAGGACGGGGAAGGCTGCCACACCGACGGCAAGGTGACCGGGCTTGAGTCGCTTCGAATCTGTGTTGAGATTTGGCTCAATGGCTTGGATTTGAACTTATTGGTTTGACAAAGCCGTCCTTGGCCCCAAGGTTGGGTCGTCAAGGTCCGGGAGTGGGCACCTTGATGGACGGACCCCTTCGATTTGCTGATCAGTCTGCAGACATAAATAAAGTAGTTGTCGCACTGCCGCTGGATGATAGCATCGTGTTGTCTATGTTATCTTTGTTAGCATTGCAAGAAGTGGCTTCTGACGTGAGATCCCTCGCGTTATCCGTCATTGTCCGTCACCGTGTTAGCGACTTGTCGACACCATCGACTAGTACAATCACCAAGACTGACATCACCGAGTCATCGGCGTTCAAAAAGAATTCCTCAGTTGAAAGGCATTGAAAAATCACTTCGACACCTCCCGCCTTCTCTCAGGTATTGCTACGCAACTCAACCATCATGGCAGAAGAACCTATGCTCTTGCGAATCCCGCCCGAGATTCGCATGCTGATATACGACTATCTTCTCGACAACGGCGGGACCAAAGATATTTCAATTCGAAATCAGTCGAAACGTGAATACGAGGCGCGCCGTTCGAAGATCCAACGTTCAGCATATCATATAATGGAGCGAACTATCGCAAGAAAGTCATACAAAACGACATATTGCGCCGACCCTCGTCCCCGCCGATCGATGCACACTGCAGTTATGCAGATCAACAGGAAAATCCGAGAGGAAGCCTCTCATTACCTGTACACCAAGCATGCTTTTCACTTTGGCGAAGACCTTGAGGCCTTGGTGCCCTTCCTCACTGATAAGACGCCACGCACTAGAGACTTAGTCCGGGAGATCAGCCTCTACAAGCGCAGTCCAACAAATGTGATGGAACCAGATTCATATGACTGGTCTTCTGTGTGTCGTTCGCTGCGAAGTTTGCAAAGCTTGGATAAGTTGACACTTGTCATTGAAGGCGCTCGGCCACGAGGGTCATGGGACGGCCCGCAGAGCTTGACGGTGTCTGACTTTCGACTATTATATACAACTCGGCATGAAAGCTTGGAATGGGCGCGGGAACTGGCAACGATAAAAACAATCAAGGACGTCGTCATCGTTGCTGATATTCACAACCTGCCTCATCCCGAGTCGAACATGATGCTGGTCCTTGCCGCATTTTCATCTTCGATTGATACGTCGTTGGTGGACTTTCTTCGCGATGATCTGGGGATTCCTGCGCGGGTTGGACAACCACAGTATTGTGGTGTTGGAGTGTTCGGCCGGTCCAGAAAATGTGAGAGAAATGGATGTCTGACGACTTTGGAAGATTGAAAGATGCATTTGAGGATTTGAAGTAAGACGTTGAGGAGCTGGCGCAGTTGAGTGGCTATCATGTTGCACTGGAAGGAGTTATTGAAGTTTATTTAACCATAACTAAGTATGATTGGCATTGGTCACTTTGGACATTCCGTTGACGAAACATAATTGAACATGAGGAATATTGAACGATAATAGTGAAACAATTGGGTCATGATGCGTGAATTGATAGAGTTGAACATCTTCAGTCTTTGACGCAGGAACGACTTGCTCCTTGACACCACGTGATGAGTCCCTGCGCCGTGTATCTTCCTTTTCCAGAACTGAGTCCGTTCCGGTGGCTGGGGCGGACCAAGAGCCCCTGCCGCCTAAAGACAAGCTGGTACAGCGCCATTATACGCTGTCTTCCAGCGGAGCTTAGGCCCACCCCAACCCATCCAATCCATTATCTCAGCCTCCCCCCGTATCGTCATCGCTCCCGTTCGTTCTGCGCCTTGTATGCGGCGCAACTTATCGACGACAACCTGACAGCTCCGCGCATCCTCCGTCTCCCGCTGCCATCTCCTTCACCATTGCGTCTATTACAGTCGCATTCTAGTGAATTGCTAGGGGTTTGGCTTGTCTTGACCTGCTCCGAGCTACCCCGCCGTCATAGCCCGACAAGATGGCCACGCCAGCTCCCCCCGAGGACCAGGCTCGTCTGCTCGAAGATGCCCTCGTAGCCGTGCGACAGCAGACGTCCCTTATGCGCAAATGTCTCGATACACCTGGAAAGTTAATGGATGCGCTCAAGTGCTGGTATGTATATGATTGCCGCGATAGTTAGCTCGGTCCCCTGAATGGCATCGCTGACCCTGGTAGCTCGACTCTGGTTTCCGAGCTTCGCACAAGCAGTCTTGGACCCAAGCAATACTACGAGCTGTACATGTCAGTGTTCGACGCCCTGCGATACTTGTCTGTCCATCTTCGCGAGAACCACCCTGTCAACCACCTGGCCGACCTTTACGAGCTCGTCCAGTATGCAGGCAACATCGTTCCACGATTGTATCTTATGATCACTGTGGGAACCGCCTACATGGCCATAGAAGATGCGCCTGTTAAAGAGCTCATGAAGGACATGATGGATATGAGCCGAGGCGTTCAGCACCCTATTCGTGGACTCTTCCTCCGATATTACCTGTCTGGCCAAGCGAGGGACTACCTGCCAACTACTGAGAGTGACGGCCCTGAAGGCAACATTAGCGATTCCATCAACTTCGTGCTTACAAACTTCGTCGAGATGAACAAACTATGGGTTCGCCTACAACACCAAGGTCACTCGAGAGAGCGCGAGCAGCGAATTCGGGAGCGGAAGGAACTGCAGCTACTGGTTGGCAGCAATATCGTACGCCTAAGCCAGCTTGTTGATCTCGAAACGTATAAGTCTAGTATTCTAGCACCGCTGCTAGAGCAGGTGGTTCAATGCCGGGACGTTCTGGCCCAAGAGTATCTCCTTGAGGTGATTACGCAAGTTTTCCCGGACGAATTTCACCTGCACACCTTGGACCAATTCCTTGGTGCCGTTTCACGCCTCAACCCCCATGTCAACGTCAAGGCCATTGTAATTGGTCTGATGGATCGATTGTCTGAATATGCTGAACGCGATGGGCCGGAGGACAAGTCGGAAGATAAAGCTCAAATTGAGGCGGATGCGCTGGCAAAACTGTTGGAGAAGGTAAACCTTCAAAAAGAAGCATCGACAGCCACACCTTCAGAGTCTAAGCAATCTGCACCTGATGGTAAAGCGGGTGAATCTGCTGAAGATGCCGAATCCGCCGATGCCGACAGTACACCCGAGGGCGAGGAGTCTACAGCCAAGGCCACCGATGAGACTCCAGAGGAAACTGCTGGTGAGAGCAGCAACGACGACTCTAGCACACTCGCCGAGTCTACACCTTCAGTTGCGGATACGGAAACCACCGCTGTGAACGGTCAAGGGTCAATTACAGACACCGTACAGCTTTACGAGGTTTTCTTCGCCCAGGTCAAGAACTTGGTGGAGGCCCAGCATCTCCCTGTGCAAGACATTATTGCACTCCTGGTGTCACTTTGCAACCTTGCGCTGAACATTTATCCCGACAGACTGGACTACGTTGACCAGATCCTGGCTTACGCAACTACCAAGGTTCGAGAGAATATTAACAATGCTGACCTTCACTCGCCTCCTGCTCAGCAGAGTCTGCTTGCTCTTCTTCAGGCGCCCCTTAGCCGATATGTTTCCACTTTCACTGCTTTGTCTCTTCCTACCTACGTTCCTCTCTTCCAGTCGCAATCATACCCCACCCGCCGAGCCGTTGCTGGTGGTGTCGCTCGCACTTTGCCCAAAAACCAGACCAAGATCTCGACTACAGAACAGCTTGAGAACGTGTTGGAGGTACTGAAGGTTCTCATCAAGGAGGGTTCCCAGGCGCCTCAAGGATACCCAGGTGTTGCCCAACGACGTCCCGTGGAGACAGACGAGACAATGGAAGAGCAGGGATGGCTCGCCAGGATCGTGCACTTACTGCAGGCCGAGGACAACGATACTCAGTTCAAGCTGCTCCAAATGACAAGAAAGGCGTACTCGGAAGGAAACGAGCGTATCCGCACGACGACGCCACCTCTTGTCACAGCATGCATGAAGTTGGCGCGAAAGTTCAAGCAGCGTGAGCACTTTGACGACAACTGGGAGACACAGAGTAATGCTCTGTTCAAGTTTATGCACTCAGCGCTCAGCACGCTGTACACCCGTGTTAACGGCTCTGGGGCTGCAGAGATGGCGCTGCGTCTCTTTGCCTCTGCTGGTCAAACAGCCGATCTGACCGGGTTTGAAGAGGTTGCATATGAATTCTTTGCGCAAGCCTTCACAGTGTATGAGGAGGCAGTTTCGGATTCGAAGGCTCAGTTCCAGGCTGTCTGTGTGATTGCTACTGCTCTCCACCAGACACGCAATTTTGGAAAGGAGAATTACGACACTCTCATCACCAAGTGCGCACAGCACGGCAGCAAGCTGCTACGCAAGCCCGATCAATGCCGCGCTGTGTATCTGGCGAGTCACTTGTGGTGGGCAACTCCCATGGCGTCGAATGGCGAGTCGGAAGAAACAGAGGTATGTATCAATCCACGTACGAAGAACCCTTGGCTGACCTGCATAGCTTTACCGCGATGGTAAGCGAGTACTCGAATGTCTTCAGCGTGCTCTTCGTGTTGCCGATTCCTGCATGGAGACGGCCACATCGATTGAACTCTTTGTTGAGATTCTGGACCGCTATGTGTATTACTTTGACCAACAAAACGAATCAGTGAGCCGAGCTCGATCCTGGAAGTGTTGAAGCAATTGCTAACTCGAGCAGGTCACAACCAAGTACCTCAATGGTCTCATTGAACTCATCCACTCTAATCTGGCCGGCAACCAACAAGATTCTGCTTCAGTTGAGAACAGCCGCCGGCACTTCCATCAGACATTGGAGAACATCCGAAGTCGACAATATGAGGGAGTCGTTCTGACGCCGAACTGAGGTCTAATTCATTGGTGATTGAAGGAGAGAGAAAGTGATTGAGCGGCATAGCGATAGATAATTTTTAACCTGCAGGCATGAATCGAGGAGGTCGCAGGTCCACTAGTTGTATATATGTAAACTTTGCCCCAAAAATTGATGATATGCGCGGTGAAGCCAAGCTGAGTCCCCTGCGACAGTGAGAGTTTTGAGGGTTTCGCTGTCACCAACCCCTGATTGAGATATATACATATACAGAGTAACTAAGTACTAAAGCTACCTACCTACCTACCTTATGTAACCCTCGGACAGGATTGCGTGGGGTGAGGCTTTGGCTATTTTTGGGCTCACTATATAAGTTATGCATTCTTTATCTCGAATTACGGCTGAACAAATTAGCTGGCACGTCCCTTAACTTTACCTCGAGTCCAGAAGCAAAGCGATGATACGCACATCACCTCCCTGTCCGAGTTAGGCTGTCTCCTTATCCCAGCTTTTGTGGGGTAATCCTGGTGGCGTGCACGGGCGGATTCAGGAGAGTGAGAGTGATTGTGAGAGCCGAGACAAGACAAGGCCTAGCCTGGCCTGGCCTGGCAAACTCCTTGGATGCCTCTGAGATAGTCAAATAGGTAGATAGATAGATAGTGTTAGTATGTGTGACATTTTCACGTGTGATCTGGTGAAAAGAAGAGGTGTGAGCTGTAGCATAGTATAGTACCTGTCATAGTGTTTTTACTGGCATTTTGTCAAAGTTTCCAAAGGCCAAGGCTTGCCAAGTCTTCCGGGTCAACTCAGCCACTTGAGACCTCGACCAACTTTGTCGGGTTGGGTGTCTTCTTCTGCTGTCTGTCTTTTTACTCCGTACTCCGTACTAACCGGCGGGTTATGGTTACAGTGGACTCCGGTCCCCTACCTTACGTGGACACTCCATTAGGTTCGCCATCATCCCCCCCGTCGCAGCGCATTGGATTTGTACTATACCTGCAGCCATCAACGTAACTCGGTACATTACTTTGACTTTAATCATCTCAGCCTTTTCTCCCCTTCCTTTTCTTTACCTAGTCAACAACATCTCGAGTCTGAGCTTAAGCAGGCCTGGACCTATTGGTTTGACGATGCGCTTCTGGCGTCTGTCTCTTGTCTCTCTTTCTTAACGCTCCTTTCGTGCTTGCACCTCGCTCATCTTAACTTAATTGCTTCGTATCGATCGATCGAAACCGCGATTCGCCCGCTCCTTTTTATCCGATCCCCTTCAGCGAATGGCACTGCCTATCTCGACTGCTTTGTGACACGCCTAAACCAGCTTCCATCGGATTGAATATACGACAACCGAGGGCGCGGTTAGCGCTCCATCACCTTCAAGATGCCTTCCGAAAAGACTCCTTTCTATGATCCCATACCGCCTACCTATGATCAGGCCGTGGCCAGTGGTAGTCATTACGATCCAGACGACTGGGCTCCTGCTCCGAGGTCCCCGACAAACGAGCGTAGTGCAACAGA